GAAAGGGATCTTGGAGTCCTAGTGGACTCCAAGATGAACATGAGTCATCAGTGTGACGAAGCCATCAGAAAAGCCAATGGCACTTTATCGTGCATCAGCAGATGCATGACGAATAGGTCCAAGGAGGTGATACTTCCCCTCTATTGGGCGCTGGTCAGACCGCAGTTGGAATACTGCATGCAATTCTGGGTGCCGCACTTCAAGAGGGATGCGGATAACCTGGAGAGGGTCCAGAGAAGGGCCACTTGTATGGTTAAGGGCTTGCAGGCCAAGCCCTACTAGGAGAGACTAGAGAACCTGGACCTTTTTATCCTCCGCAAGAGAAGGTTGAGAGGTGACCTTGTGGCTGCCTATAAGTTCATCATGGGGGCACAGAAGGGAATTGGTGAGGTTTTATTCACCAAGGTGCCCCCGGGGGTTACAAGAAATAATGGCCACAAGCTAGCAGACAGCAAATTTAGACTGGACATTAGGAAGAACTTCACAGCTAGAATGGCCAAGGTCTGGAACGGGCTCCCAAGGGAGGTGGTGCTCTCCCCTACCCTGGGGGTCTTCAAGAGGAGGTTAGATAGGCATCTAGCTGGGGTCATCTAGACCCAGCCCTCTTTCCTGCCTATGCAGGGGGTCAGACTCGATGATCTATTGAGGTCCCTTCCGACCCTAACATCTATGAATCTATGAAATGCTAAACACAGACTCACCTTTCTTTTTCACCTGGCACTTTACATCTGGATGATCAATGATTTCACAGACAGCTACACAGCTCAGGATAGGGCCCAGCACACTTTTTTGCCACCCAAGGCCATGAGGACTATATAGAAGTGCCAGGCTTAGATCACTGGTGAGATAAGTACCTTCACCAAACAAGGACGTCTGAAATGGCAAAAAGAGGAGTGAAGAGAGTACATTCCATTAAAAGCATGAACATCCAAACTGAACAAAACTACAGGACACAGATGTTCGTTCTTTCTAAGCATGTGTCTGTTGCTTGCAAATACGAGTAGAAACAGAACAATGAAAATGAAAATCTCCCTTGGACACCTCAATGCTCTTGGTCCAATTTGGTATAGGTCAAACTATTTCAGTTAGGGATGTGATCTCCCTCATGGATGAAGTTAGACCAATATAGCGTACTTCCCTTATACAGGTATTCTAATATAATAAAAGGCTTAGTCGGTGTGTCTGTCTGTAACACTTTTGGGCAACTGTGCATGCACCACTGAGAACGTGGGCAGTGATTTTGGCTGTGCGGCCTGGGCTGCTTAGGCCCAAGCTTGTGTCAGTGGCAAACACCCCAGCTGCCTGAGCAGTGGGGCTTGCCCCCCACCTCCCTGCCTGAGGGCAAAGGGGGGGGAATCATGGTGGTGGCACACCCCTGCTGCCTGGCCCTGATTTCCCACCCCCACCCCCCCCCCCCCCCACAAGCTGGCAGGGAGGGGGATGTGGAGCAGGGCCAGACCCAGAACAGCGGGGAGCAGGGCTCAGGGGTGGAGTGGGGCCAGACCTGCAGCGGCAGGGGAAGAGGAGGGTGGAGCAGGGCCAGACTCAAAGCAGCTGGGGGGGTATAAAGGGGCACGGGGCCAGACATGGGGCCCAGTCATTCTTGAGGGTAATTTGCCAGTAAGTTTTATAAGACTACAAGCACTCTTACACCACATCGGGGACACAGCTCTAAATGGCTCTAACTTTGCTGTTACAGTTAGAATGGTACAACTAGTATATGTGGGTGATGCCTTAGAGGAACAGACACCTGCTTTCAAACAGAACAGCTTAGAAACACAAAATCAGCCACCTCAAATAAGACCATTCACCCATAAAGAGAGTTCCCTGTCTCCCACAATAACTAACAGGCAATAACTTCGTATTGGGTGTCCCAACAGCTTCCAATTCAAGAAAAATGCATGCTCACAAACCCACAGTCTCCAACCAATGACATCCTTGCTAGCAGTCTCAGGAGATGTGAGGGATTCTAGTGGCAGAGAGTATTAGAGGCAGTCCAGGGTTGAGACCACAGAGGGACAGTCTGTACTGCTCCTGTTCAAATATCTCTTTGGTTAGAGGGCTCCCACCTCCAGGGCTTCAGATGGGCCATTTTTTTAAGAGGCATTAAATTCATTTGCTTTTCAGCACGTGGTAAAAAAGGGCTGTGGGGCTGGGGCTGCACTATCTGCAGTTTTTAATCTGTCTACATTACAAAGTCCAACACAACTGTATGCAAATACCACAAGTCAAGGAAAACAAATAGCAACAGGAGAACATGGAAAGAGTTTGCACACCTTGTTAAAGAAGCCATCAGCATTTATAAACGAATGCAAAATAAAGGTGTGTGTTAGTACCACAAAAGCTGGAAGCCTTACCCTATTTAAATGGCAGCATAAACCATTGTGCAGTATAGAATGGAAATTCTCCAGGCGGCTCCCATGGAATGCATAGATAAGGTCCCTTTCTCCCTTGGTCTCGTCAAACTTGGCATTCATCTGATCACAATACACTACTTCAAACAGGAAGTCAGGCATAGGAACAGCTACACTTGATGTACCTGTCAGTTCCTGAATCTTCTCGAACTGAAAGAAAGCAGAGTCCTGTTTTGTAATTTTTTTTTTTTTTTTTTTAAAGAGATCTCTGCTCATGGAAATTTTCTTAGTGACTCGGTCTTTTCTAATTCCTTCATATGCTCTCTGTATACTGCGTGCATGTACAATTCAGGCACCAGTGCATGCTTTGTACTGGTCTCCTGTGCCACATGCAGCATGTGCTGGCTTTGCGGCTCGCTCTATGCAGCACAGGAGGTCAGTCCAGGCAGGCACATGCTGCCTACAGCATCCTGCTGGCCTGGCTCTGCGTACTGGCTCTGGCACACTTGGGCAGCCTGGGGCCCAAGCCAGGCAGGCGCACAGCCAAGCCAGCACAAGTGCTGCATGCAGTGTGCCCCGAACCAACCTCCTGTGTTGTGTACAGCAGCAGGTCCAGCCCACATGCAGTGGGCAGAACGAGCTCTAGAGCTGGCACACGCTGCATGCAGCACATGGGTTGGACCCAGCACCACAAGTACTGCATGCTTTGCAGGGGTTCAGTCCTGATCCAGTCTTCAGATAGGCCCAGCAACCCTCATCTAGCCCAGGGGGCCAGAGGAGTTTGACAACCTGATCTAGAATATACTATGGACCTAAGTGTTTATGCACATAATGGATGTTGGTTGCAATGTAAGTTTTATAGGCAAAAAACTGGGACTCTCTGTGTTAAGCGCTTAGTCTGCTTAACTGCATATCTAGTATGCATCTAGATAGGGATTACAATGTAATCCCTATTACAGTAGGATCTGAGCACCTTGCAATCTTTATTCTTCCAATACCTAGTGCGTGTTTTGGAGATGGGGAAACTGAGACATAATGTCACACAAGGAGTCTGCAATACAGTAGAGAAATGAACCCCGGTGTCCAGAGTCCCAGGCTGGATCCTGGATCATTAGACCAGCTGCTGTTCTCAGTGTGCTAGTATTTCTAGATAATAGACATGGTACGGTACTATTTTAAGGATTTCACAATCCAAAGGCAGGGCAGAGTAACAGCAGAACATGTAAACAGAGCGGCTGAGTCATGAAGCCACATATCAACAAGAGAAAGTTTGTGCTACCACAGAATTCGAAGGTTGCAATCCAAAATTTTTCTTTAAAGATCTTATCACAGCTCATTTTGACCCATTCTTGCTTCTGTTCCTTAGCTATGGTGAGATGCTGTCTGGGGCAGAGTTAACTTTTTAATTTCGCTAGGTTTTCCTCTTTGGATACTATGACAGTAATGCCAACCAACTGCAAGACCTGTAGTATCCCAGCCAGATGGTAATGGGGAAAAAAACTTTTCTACATGCACAAAATGTGTTCACTTTAAGCATTTTTAAGGTCTTTATAACAATCAACCAATCCCAGGGGACAAGAGAATTTCTTAAACCCAAAGGTGCCTTAAAAAGGCAAATTTGCATCGTACCACCTTGGTAAGAACTCACCTCTTGTTTCCTAGTACTTTGTATACTTAAGAATTTAGATGATAAAATCCAGCTAAACAGCTCCGATGTCTTTTTATCCGTGTCGGGAATAGACCTCAGAAGTTCGGTCAGGCTCGGCAAAGCATTCGTATCTGCAAGCTAAGGCAAGAAAAGAGTTTTTAGGTTTGGTTTCTCTTCATCGTGGTTAAACAGAGACCTCTAGTGGAAATGAAATAATATTTCACTCTAATGAGGAACTTAGTGATGTAGAAATGGAAATTGGTTTTCCACCTGAGATGCACCCCTGAAAAACCTGCACTGAGATTATGGATCAAAAACGGTCATTTATTCCAACTGTAAGTAAGCTGCACCGACTCTATATTCATCATCTCCGGGATATGCATAGGAACAAGTGGCCATAAACCTTGGACATAGTCAACATATCACAGGAGAGGCTATAATATCTGCACTTGGATAAAATTTGGCCAATTTAAAAACCCAAATCAAGGCCCAAGTAATTTTCCAGTCTGCACACAGTACAACAAATTGTACCTGGGAAACCTCCAAACCTAAGTCTGTCACTTTAGGGTTGACAATAGGTTTGGATCCTAAAGTCCTTGGTGATGTGTGAAGCACTTGGAAAATTGTACTTGCTCACTCACAAAATATCAGCCGACTTCTCCGCCCCCTTCATTAACTTGTTAACTGAACAACTGGCAGATATTTGTACATAAACCATTTAGTCAAGGCTGTTGACCTGTTTAGTCCTAAGTAAAACCACGTTCTCCACATTTCGCAAACCCACTCGATAGTTACAAACAGTTTACCGATGAGTTGAGGAGCAGGGACCGTGTTTTTAGGATGCCCCCTAAGGTGTTATCCAGGCATTTGCCCCTCTATAGCCTGTAGTGCAATAAATCTAGTGGTAGGACTGAGGCGGGGGGGAGAAGGGAGCTCCTCCTCGTTATGCATACACTTGTGCGCTACACAACTACTCTGCGCTGAAGTGGAAGCATCGCTATTAACGGTTTTTCGAGCCTTTCTCCTTCACGCGGCGGGGATACGTGCTCCTGCGCACTGACGATCTCTTCGTCTGTCTGCTCTACATCACGGCCGTTTTCCAACTTTGCAAAGTGACCCTCCAGGAGCGTTTCTGCCCCCAGGAGCGCTTTTTTTCTTTTATAAAAAAAGAAAGTCGCGTTTTGCTGAAACAGGCAGCTGCTCCTTATGGAGGAGGGCGGTTGTCCTCGAGGACGTTCCTGCTCCTCTGTCCTCGCCCGACGCCTTCACGTCCTCTCGTTTTCTCTGTGAGAGAAAACGGCTCTTCGAGAGAAGCCGATGAGAAAAGCCGAGGACGACAAGGCGCCGCCGGGGTTCGTATCCAGCGGGCAACCCGACGGCCCGCGACGCGACGCCAAGGGCCGCGCAGGGTGTTTAGTGACAACGCTGTGTGAGGAAGGGAAAGTTTAAAAGGAAGGAAAGCCAGTGCAGGGCCCGGCCTGGTCCGGCCGGCCTGCAGGAGGGACCGCGTTACCTCATGGGCGCCCCACGCACCCTTGGGTCTTGTTTGGACCCCGACACGCGCACTACACACCCCCCCC